ATACATTGAGTCAATTGCTTCTTCCACCGCGAGGAAAGTTGGCTCTCTGTGCAGCGCCAGGAAATTTTTCTCCCCGGAATCGATACTTCAAATATACCAATCAACCATTCGCCCTTGCATGGAGTATTGCTGCCATATATGGGCTGGAGCACCTTCTGCTTACCTCGGAGTTCTTGACAAGATCCAGAGACGGATATGTAATATAATTGGCCCTGATCTAGCGTCTTGTCTGCAGTCACTCTCTCACAGACGCAACGTCGCCTCTCTCTGTCTTTTCTACAAATGCTTCCATGGTAACTGCTCTGATGAGCTTCTCTTTCTGGCTCCCAGACTCCATGAATTCAAGTGCCCTACGAGGCTGGCATCCCGCTCCCACCCTTACACCGTAGAAACCTTCAAATGTAGCCGTCTCTTCTACTCCAATAGCTTCATACCTCGCACCTCTCGCCAGTGGAACACCCTCCCCAATTACTGTTTCCCTGAAAGCTATAATCTCCAACTATTCAAATGTAATGTCAATCGACACCTCCAGTTATCTTGATCTACCCACTATCCTTCTCCTCTTCCTTTCTCCTATCACTCTTATCTGCTCTCGCTCCAAATCTTCCGCAACCCCCTGCATCCTAGTGGCTTCACGCATTGCTTGGGGCACAATGCTTAAAAAAAAAAAAGTATGTATATGACTGTGGACCACTACTTTCAGTTACGATTAATATCGTTCCATAAAGAAAATCATGTATAAAAATAAATAATAATTGCAGTTTTGATCATCTTTTTTTATGACAGTACTTTGATATATATATATATATATATGTGTGTGTGTGTGTGTGTGTGTGTGTGTGTGTGTGTGTGTGTGCACGTCTGTATGAATGGGAATGTATTGTAGAATAACCATATGCATCATAATATTTTTAATCATTTCACGCCTAAGAAAGGCAATAAATTTACTAAGACGCAATGGTTTACTGCGTTTCAAAAAATAGAGTTCTTATAAGGATCATTTAATATTTGGCACTTCGAATGTAATGTCCTCCATCCTTGACTCTTCTAAACACTAAAACATTGTGCCAATAAATTACGAAACGTCTTCGAAATAATCGATAGTTCAAAAATGATTTTCACAGATTCAACATGCTTAAAATTGAGGGTTATATTCTAACTTCGAAATTGTCTGGCTTCCAGCTTCGTCTTTAAATCACGTTCAAATGTGGCTTTATGTCGGTGTCGATTCAGACAGACGGCAAAATTTAGTCCAATTTAAATTTGTAAAGGTGTTTGTTTGTCTTTCTAACATCACCACCAACCTTTTCCCTCTTTTTGTCTTTCTCTACTAACTATTGTTCTTTGTATTTCATTTTTGAAAAATCTTTCTACACATCTTGCTTTTGTCTCTCTCTCTCTCTTTCTCACTTGCCGTCTCTTTTAAAAAAGATGTCCGCCCAAATATCGAATTTATTAAACTCCTGTATCAGCAGAAAATCGTAGATCTCAAATTAGCGCCATGTGTGCAGATGTGAAGGCGTTTTGTCGTCAAAGAATGCGCTTCTGTGTATTGAAATGTTTTTCTTTATATTCTTTTCTATTTTCATCATCGAATTATTTGTTTTGATCTTTAAAATATCTTAATAAATAATCGATTCTCTTTCTTGACGGTCAATCGTAAGAACATTCGATAAAAACGCTGCAGTGGATTTCATTTCCTTAGCTTTTTCTTAACTTCTGGATATATTTGCATATTTTTTGTTGCTTGTGCTGTCGTTACTGATTTTCTATGGTACAAGGCCACGTATTTAAAGCAAACTTCGAGAATCTAACTCACTACTTAGTTGGCTCACAGAATTAGAGAACTGGCCTTACTTATGTCAATCATAGACACACAGACAGACACAGACACACACCGTACACACACCATACACACACACACACACACCATACACACACCATACACACAGAGACATACACACATACACGCAAACACACACACATACACGCACACATACATATATATATATATATATATATATATATTGGCTCCTGAAAAATTAATTTCAGTTGAGCTCTCTGGGGAGGAGGTGTGGATTGGTAAACAGTGACTATTATAGCTATATAGCGAGACTCTTCGCAGATGCGAATTGAGTCACTGTCGGTCACTGGGCGTGTTTCCAAAAAGAAATACGCTAAAATCCACCTTCATCCCTACCGTTCTGACGGCTTAATGGTTAGAAGCTTCGACTGACACTAATTCAGTCGGGTTTGGATCCTAGCTAGAAACAACCGGACGTCTAGCCACACTGATGAGCTGCGAAACAGTCTGTCTGTGGATCACGTTATATATATATATATATATATATGTGTGTGTGTGTGCGTGTGTATATAAATGAGGGGCTCTCCCGTCGTTTTCGACGTAGGAGTGTCTTTCAGTTAAGTTTTTACGCTTATGTTCCGTATGAGACAACACGCACCGGATTTGCAAACAAATCCACACGAAGGACATACTGAAAGGCTTGACTGTCAACTGGGGTGATATTTTACCCCGAGATTTCATGTTAATTCTTAATTCTCTCAGATAGATGAGACGATTCTTTTCAAAGTTACTTATACCTCGGTAGAAGGCATTTCTCTAGTTTTTTTTTTTTCGGTTTCCAACATCAAATTCGAACTCCTCTCTGAGGATGTTTGCAGCAACTGAATTGTAATAAAGCTTGTCCTTGAAGCGTAACCAAGGGCGGGGGGGGTCTACATTACGCTTACCATGAAAATGTGGGCTATACATGAGGATTTTCACTCTCCGATAATCACTCATTCTGATGACATGACCAGCCCATCTGAACGGTGATTGCGTCAGAAAGGATTCAATACCACCGAGACCACATTTGATGGAAAGATCAGGGTTAGAGATTTTGTATTGTCGTGTATAAGCGTATTGAAAGAAGACAATATTTATGAAAAGTATCAAGTTGACTGATGTTTGTCCTGTATGGCGTCCACGATTCTGACGCGTAAGGAATTGGGGTGAGAATGACTGCTCGATAGATACTGATTTTTGTTTTCAGTGATATCCCACGAACATCCCACGGGCGATGCTTAAGCTTCCCAAAGGCATTTGTTGCCTTTGATATTCCGTTAACTGTCTCGTGATCCAAAGAGACACTTGAATTGACTTTGCTTCGTAAGTACGTGAAACGTTCATAAACAGACACACACACACACACACACAGACAGCCAGACAGACACACACACACACACACACACATATATATATATATATATATATATATATATATATATATATATAGATAGATAGATAGATAGTGTTATAAGACCTACCCATAATAACATAATGGACTATTCCATACGTAATAAATACTGCGCCTCAAGAGGAAGCAGGGAGTTCATCTCGAAGTCGGGCGACCGGCTGATCGACTGATCGGTTGAACTCTCTGGCTTCGGGCGGGGAGGAACCCGAACGAGGCTACGCCGAAGGGCGGAGTCTCTTTCGGGGAGGTAAAGCGACCCTGAACCCGTTTATACGGGTTCAAAGGGCATATTTTTGGCCGAGCCTACAGGTTCGGAGATCCCACGTTAAGCCGGCCTTGTGCCACATGATGCCCTTGTGGGGGGGTGACTAAATACCGTTCAGTCTGAAGTCTGGAGTGAAGCCTGTCAGGAGTCTCTCAGTCAGTCAGAGCGAGCGAGTCAGTCAGTCGAGTCAGAGGCAGTCCGAAACAGAGTCACGTTCAGACAATTACTACTAAACATGATTATTCATACTAACACTTCTACTTCTCTGTATATATTCCTGTTTGTAATATATCTGTGTTATTCCATATCCGTATTCGAGTTCTTCTTTATTGATTAGACCTTGGACTATCACCGTGGTACAAGGATGAAGCGGCAATCGTCTCACTCTGAGAATTTTTTTTCCCATTTCGTTGTTTCTAAAGAAAGGTTTCGTTGTCTCTTTGGTACTATGGAATTATCAGATCTTGTAGTTCTATCGGTAGGGTTGTGAATCATTTGAAGAGGGTTAATATTTAGAGGAGAGTGGTTAAGAGATAAGAGACATGTGGGGGCGCCATAGTTCTTTGAAAAGTGGGGGAAGACGAGACATTTTTCGTTTGGTCTCTAACTTCTATTTTGCCGGCTCAAGATGTCATTATTCTATTTTAGCAAAGTCACTGGATCAAGTGAGGCTTTAGATCGCAAAATAGTTGTTGAGATTATCCATCCGTTCAGCTTCGAAATCAAACAAGAGACAATTAACAAAACTAATTCTACTCCTCTGTTAGCCGATTAACAATGGTCTATCGTCGATACGATAGCGTTTTTCTTCTTCGTTGTTAATCACACAGCAAGCTGGCTACGACGTCATCTGTGTACTGCAAGCCGGGCCCAGACAAGATCATTCATTCAAGAGCTATCAAACGATAGTATTAATATAACGAGTGTTGTATTTTGTTTCGATATTCCTTCATGATTCAGCGTTTACTATGTCAAGGGCGTTCTCGTAATCAGTGGAAATGAAAGAAGAAAGAAATTCAAGTAAGGTTGCGAGAAAGAAGGAGGAATTCGAATGATTAAGAGATAGAAACGGGGAGGGGTAGAGTTAAGTGGAAAATACAGAGAAACGGATTAAATAAGTACAACAACAACAAAAATAAATAAATAAATAAAAGCCACGGAATACCGGATGATAATTAATAGAAAGAAAAACTAACGGAATGAAAACAACAGGGAAAAAATAAAAGACAAAGAAAAAATAAACGAAAAGAAAAAAAAAAACAAATCTTGAAAGACGATTGAAGTCGAGCAAAATTTGAAGTAAAGAAGAAAAAGAAAACCGCCTGATATGAGGGACGAAAGACAAACGCAAGGAAACGCAAAGAAAAAAGAAAATAACGAAAAATGCGTAATAGATATAGAGAAGAAAAGAAAGGAAAATAGTATTTAACACAAATATAGATGAATAATAATAATAACAGAAACAATAATAATAACATTTAAGATGTATTTGTATTATTGAAATCAATAGATAATTTAAAAGAGAAATACAGAGTGTAAAAAAAGAAAACAGAGAAACGAAGAGAGAAAGAAAGGCGCAAAGAAATGGAGATAAAGAAGGAAAAATTAACAAAAAAATCGAAAGAAAGAAAAAAAAGAAAAAGAAAGAAAAATACAAGCTAACAAAACTAAATAAATAAGGTTATTATTATTCTTGTTCTTGTAGTAGCAGTAATAATAATTGTTGTTGTTATTATTATTATTTGTAGTAGTGCTTGTTTTTGTTGTTACTGTTGTTCTTCTCCTCTTTCTTCTTCTTCTGCTTATTATTATTATTATTATTAGTAGTAGTAGTAGTAATAGTTCTTGATTTTTCTCATCCTCCTCCTCCTCATTCTTCTTCTTATTATTATTATTAGTAGTAGTAGTTGTAGTAATAGTTCTTGTTTTATTGTTGTTCTACTGCTTTTACTTCTTTTTCTTCTTAATATTACAATTATTATAAGTAGTAGTAGTTGTAGTAGTACTTATTGCTTTTGTTGTTGTTGTTGTTCTTCTACTCCTCCTCATCATCCTCCTCCTTCTTCTTCTTCTTCTTCTTCTTCTTCTTCTTCTTATTATTATTATTATTATTATTATTATTATTAGTAGTAATAGTTCTTGTTTTCGTTGTTGTCCTTCTTTTCTCTTCCTCGTCCTGCGTATTATTATAATTATAATTAGTAGTATTATTATTGGTAGTAGTAGTACTTGTTGTTTCTTCTAATTCTTTCCTCCTCCTGCTGTTGCTTCTGTTTCTTCTTCCTCTTCTTCTTCTTCTTCTTCTTATTATTATTATTATTATTAGTAGTAGTAGTAGTATTAGTAGTAGTAAGAGATATAGCAATAAAGAAGAACAAAGAAATACCATGTCAGAAAACTAATAGTGAGAGTAAATAACGAAAAAAAACAACAAGTAAAGTTTAACTAAAGATAGAAAGGTTATCATCCAAAACAACAATACCCTGAAAAAAAGTAAGAAATAAAAAGAAAGAACTACATATTTCCGTAAGTGTGTAAACTAATTAACAATTATTGACTTGTTGACTCGCCAATGAGAAAGACGCCACGCAAAAATCGATGATCATGCCCCGGCATCCTCCTTCTCCAACCGTGCACTGCTTTGCGCTTCTTTGATGTTTAATTAATAGATCAATTGAAAGCATGTAATCAACAGAACGAACACGGGCGAGTGAGCGCATCGCGAGGACAAGCGGCATCGTGCATTGTCCGGAGATGTGGAGCTTTGGACAGGGTGAGCGGCAGTTGTTCGAGATTGCTATTGGTGGCACGATCGCATCAAGGATTTTCTGCCGGAGCAGGAAATTCAGCTCAATACGCCGCTGGTTCTTGTATTGTTCTCAGGAAGATGCTTCTCTCATCGTCACTTTTATTTCTTGCATCACTGTTTATTCTACTCTGACCCTGTTTCTTTAACCACACCTGCAGATACATATATCTGGTAGTTTGTCCAAACGGTGGAGCCTGCACAGACATAAATGAACACACACACGAACGCGCGTATATACGAAGTGCATTCCAGGATTGTCTCTATCTATAAAAGGCAGGATGCGTCTGTGTGTGTGTAACGAATGCACGGCAGCAATTTTCGACGGATTTGCACCAAAATTTACATGCAAATGCTCCAAGTTAGTGGGAAGGCCAAGACCGACATTGCATTTCCCAACTCCCATCGATAGTGGAAATAATCGATTTTTTCATGCTTCTACGGCACTTTTCATGTAGTTTGCGGCCATTTTCTACTGGCCAGAGTGAGAGCCTATAGCTGGCTGCCACGAATAGGCAGGAAGATTTTATTGGCCAGCGTGAGAGCCAACAGCTGACTGACACGAATGTTAACTAGCATGCAAAAAAATTAGATAGCTGCATTCGTCACAAGTGGGAAAAATTTAAATCTGCATGGCACTTTACTCCAATTGGCTCATTCGCTTGCTTAAACTCAACGTTGATTCTGATTCCGCAGAAGTTTGTTGGGTGTGAAAAAGTATTTGTTGTTAACATTCTTTTATCATTCCGTTTTTCCAGTTATGAGTCCTTTTTTAAAGCTGATCGTTTTGTGTTCATTTTGTTTAGTTCTTTTTTGTAACAGATTTAATGTTTAGTATAGAGCTTAGAAAAAATTCACAGTGTGAGATAGGCAAGAAGTAAGGCATGTAGCAACATCAGCATGGCAAAGGGCACTCCTTTAAAGGCAAGGAAGGCCAAAAATATTTTAAGTCAAGTGATAACGATTGCTGTATGAGTCGTACGATTTTCGAATCAAGCACGGGCAACGCCGGGCCATGCTGCTAGTTTACACATATTTGTTTTCATTTGGTTTGTTTTGTTTTACTATATATCAACCTCAATAGGATATTTAATGCCGACAAGATTTTTAATACTTTTTCTTCAAAAATGTATTGCAGGAAATATTTTTTTCTTCCTAAATGTATTACTGGTAATTATTTTTTCTTCAAAAATGTATTGCAGCTAATATTTTTCCTCAAACATGTATTGCTGGTAATATTTTTCCTTCAAAAATATATTGCTGGTATTAAAACCTATTTTTACACTTTCATAGTGTTTTGACCCCAGTTTGCGGGGTTAACTCTTTGCCCATAGCTGGGACCCTAACAGGTGATACCACCTCGAGTCAGGGTGGACCTGTGAACACCAGCAATTAAGAGGTGGTTCCACGCTCCTCAAAACGTCCTGTTCAGAGACCTTGCTGTCGGATATTGTTCATCGTCTTACTTAGAACGCGGATGTAGTTTATCGTCATGTCCAGGACGGGTTTAGACATTTTTTTTTGTTAAGAGATGCAGTTATAACTATCCTAGATTATTATAACTTTACTATATCATTACTATTCATCTACTGCGATGATCTGCCAACTTTCGTTATTTTAGATTGAAAGAGACGGCTGTAACGGCTCTTTGAACACACCCTACGAAACACTGTCAAAACTGATGAGTTTGTAAAATGCGTTCGGGACGTGATGAAAATTTCAGAGCTCTCTATGCAATATTTTTTTTCATAAAAATGGGCAAAAACGCTACATAATCTTATTAAATGCACCAGACTGCTTATGAATTAACTTGTATGAGCCGAGCGTCTGTTTTTTCAATGAAAAAAAAACGGGACATGTGGAAGGAAAATGGACGCTCAGAAGATCAGAGATGCTTGAGAAAATACGAACTTTTATGAAGGAAGATCATGGTATATCTATAAAGACAATAAGCATATAGTTTAGTCCGTGTGGCACTGTATACAGAATTATCCACGAACATGTACAAAATTTGTGCAATTTTTTTTTCTTACAGTGTGCTCATAACCGAACAGAAAAAATATGCTTTGGTGACAGCAGCGATATGGTTAATGAGCATCGGGACTGCCCCTTACTCCTCGAGACTATGCTTCCTGTAACTTTTGGTTGTTCTTCAATCTGAAAGAGAACTTTCAGTGTAGTAGAAATGAAGACGATGAAGGAGGCTGTGGCAATGTTTGTGAACACATTCATATTGGATGACGTCAGTTGCGCCTTCACGAAATAGATGGAGCGCTAAAGCAAGTGAAATTAAGTCAGATGTTTCTACTTTGAAGAGGTTTAGAGTGTTTTACTTCCTGGATATTAATTTCTTTCTTGTAATCTTCTGGTATTCACTTCGTATATACACAAACTTATATATATATATATATATATATATATATATATATATATTATTACAAAAATGAAACCAAAAATTACCTCACTCAGATAGGCATTTCATTAAATGGGGTAATTTTAGGGTTTCATTTTGTAATTCCCTTATATACTCTATAATAAATAAATTGAACTCTCTTTTGGGGATCAGTTTTAATATTGTATATTAATAAGACCTACTTGGATTACTTATCCATGAATATATATATATATATATATATATATATATATATATAAATTTTTATCAGAAGCTAAGGGGAGGGGTAGAAAGGTAATCGAACGTATAGCTAATTCTAACTTATCTTTTATAGTTGATAATAAAATGCTTCTTTAAGAAACCAGTAAATACAACATAAGTGTTTAAAATAAAAAAAATAAAAAATGCGTAATATTCATACAAGATATTGATAATGTCGACTAAGCAGCGACAGCTAAATATATTCAATTCAAATAAACAAAATAAATTAATCATTCATAAAAGGTTCACCGCAATTTACTTACTAATTATGACCATATGCAATAATACTATCAGATTCAAAGTTTAACCCTATTTTAAGGGGAAAGGTAAGCTGTGCCTACAATTTACATCAGCTCACTTCTTTGATCTAATAGTGAAATTTTATCAGTAAATCTAATAATTCCCAATTTCTCGTGTAAATATAAGAAGCAAGTTTCAGTTAGGGATTTACAAGTTCTAGCCATTTTTTAAAAAATTGTATATAACCGTAGGAGTATTATTAATATTAATTTCTTTTAGAGAAATATATTTATATTTATATGTCTATATTTCTGAGATGAGGTATTATGTACAGTATTTACATTAGTCGGACTATTGTCCTCATCTTTGTCGCCATATTTGTCACAACGTTTCGGCTGTTGTACGCTCCGGCCTTCTTCAGGTGGTTGGAATTTGAACTGAACCTTTATTTCGAAGACTGTTCTAATTCCCGTGCCATGTTTGATGGATGGTTATCAGTTATCTCCTGCTAATTTTTTTCCCTCTGAAAGTTCTCCACTGCCTTAACCAGGAATTGAACTCACCTTCTTTGGGTCTGTCACTGTGCCATGTGTCCTGGACATCTGGGTATGAACTTCTGAGTATTATAAACCTAATGTTTTCAGCATCATTTTTACCAGTGTTCATATTGCAATTTTTTTTTTTTTTTTTTTTTTTTTTTTTCTGTAGTGATGGACAAATCGGACTGAAAGCAATGGTCTCCATAGTGAAGAAAGCCTATGAAAACGGAACGCAAACTGTCACAGACCCTAATAACCAATACGTAAGGCAGTTATCGCAGCGAACCTCACATATACGGTCTCCCTAAGATTCACAAAGACGGTATTCCCTCAGGCCGATTGTTAGTTGCCAAGGTCTGTGTGCCACCCTCAGTCCTTCCTTGTAGATATAATTGACCCATTGATCGAAAAGTATCCTTC